ATTTAAGCTTTCTGGAACCAATTTCTAACTACCGCAGTTAATTAATGTCCAATAAAATATAAGAATATAAATTTGTGAGCGTCTTAATTTAGTGGGTCCGTTATTTACAGCTGTAGTTCTGAGCGTCTTGAGTGCATGTAATTTACAATAAAATGCGACCCCTCAAGTAATAACAAACAATGCTGTTACGTTACATTGCTCCTAATTTTTTCGACGTGGATTTGTTAAGGGACCAGTGCAAAAAGTAACCCGCGTGCGAGATTTGTGCAAAAATTGACATTTAATGATATAGATCTAATTATCGTTGGCGTAGTCTACAGTAAAATATGCTTTCAGTAATCCGTTCTCAAACAACGCGCTGTTCAAAGACTCGAGGAGACTACACTTTATTGTTTTAAGCACCATTTGACATAAATGATGTAACCCGCTTCCGCTACAAACTTTTAATGAAGACAAAGTTACTAATTCAAAATTTTATGTTTTGTTACTCTGGATGCGATAACTGAACTGCAGGCCAACTCTTTAGCCAATTACTTTAAAAACCTCATATTCTTGGATTGTAAAATTACTAGGTATCCCTATATTGGGATAGGAATTAGGGCTTGATGACCAACTAGTACCGTTTGCACGCAAGTCGTTTCCACTGCCAAAACATGGACCATACGAACTATGATAATACACAGCGTTTGAGCTGTTATTGACACGAGCAATCTGTGCAGAGCTAAGGTCATCAATATTTCTAATATAAAACAAGAAACTTTTGTTGGTGTTCCCGTAAGTTGAGTCGTTAGAAGTCCAATTCAGTGGATTATAACCTCCGATGATCGTATTACCCGAGTTAGTCTTACAGACAATAAGCGTCGGCCCCTTATTGTCACAGAGATTATGGAATTTGCCGCTATCGAAGCCATCCCTTGTACCTCGGAGTAATAATTCGTATTGAAATCTCGTGTGCGCAAAATATTTGTTTATGTCGATCCACAAGGAAATTAAGTCAACCCGCATTCGCTTTATGACGCGTGAGTCGATTTCTGTATGGGTACTCGCACGAGCCGGCTTCCATTGAGGCGATTTGTTTTCTGGGGCCATATAATAGCGAATAATATCGTCTCTAATGTCTTTAGGTATCAATTTTTTGTACGGCATGACGCTCTCACAAAATTCTTGCGGTTGAAAAGCATGATACCTAACATGACGAAGACATTGATGCAATGTTTTTTCTAGGTTTGCAAAATCATCCTTCGTCCAGTTGCCGGAATTATTCAACGAAGTTAACTCTTGATTTTGTGCGACGCCCCATTCTAGAAGCTTGCGCCAGACGTATATCTCTGGTACGTTCAAGTCATCTATCTGAAGAATATGCTCCAAGATGGACTCTGGTACTTCAACAAAATCATCCCCATCAAACAGAATACTGGGTTGTTGACATATAATCCCGATGCAAATATTCCGTAAAGGAATAAAAGATTCGTGAAACCATATTTTCTTAAGGATGTTAACCGGATTATCGTTCAAGAATTCATCTTTTTTCTCTATAATGTACTGCTGTACGTCATTTAATAGCTCCAACAATTCCAACTCGTCCGTAGCAAGCAATACGTCAAAAATAACAGATGCACGTTGCGAGGCAAAATCGACAACACCACCGTACAAATATCTATAGAATTAATGGTTCAAACTTTAGGAAGTTATTGCTGTACTCGTAAAATAGTCTCGGTTCCGTGCTATCGTGCGACAACAAACCTTAGAATGAAATCCATAGTTGCAGGAGTCACATTTGGTTTCTTGAGAACAAACTTGTCATCCTTCTTCGTTGCCCACCTTTCACTGATAGCAGCAGCAAAATAAGTTGAACGTGCACGAAGAATTAGCGAATGCACTTTAAACTCTTTGGTCTTTCCTTCTTCACCTACGGAAAGAAGCACGTCGTAATGCTTTTCGCTATCCAACAAGCGTAGCAAATCTTTGCAGACGTCGGACATGTTTAAGTGTGTTTCTTCAAAAGCAATTCCATTCCGGAATAGTAATAGTTCAATCACATTTTGTATCACAATGATCCTACCTGTATTTATTCTATTTCAGGGTCCAATATTAATATGAACTAACCTCTTCAAGAAGTGCAAGTGTTCCAGTATAACACCAATCTTACAGCTATCACTGTATCACATTCATGTTAATAAAGAACATTAATATCATCAAAATCAAATCCTCTTTGCATCACCCCTTGTGATGTTGCAGATAGCTTAGATTTCAAGACATCATCTTTGATATAACTTTGACTCGATCATTCACCGTATCAGAAGCATGATGGCTGTACTTTCAGTGTAATTCATACTAGTTCGGGAGTTGTGCCAGATATTTGTAAATCAGAGTTTTTGAAAGGACACTGTTGGGAAAGACAATTTGTGAATATTGTTGGACTTGTGTTTAGGAATTACACAATTTTCATGTTGATAAGAATGAGAATTCCATCATATTGATTGGTTGTAGTTGTGGTCAGAAAGATGTATTAGTATTCAGTATGTAGAATGTGAGATTACGTATTCATAGTAAAATATATTTTACTTTTTCTCAAATACCAAAGGCGAAGTAAAACACGAGTTCTCAACTGTGACATTTTTAATTTCATTAATGTGCTGGTTAGGCGTCAAATAATATTTCGAGCAAAAAAGACAGGTTAAGAGAATATATTGAAATGAAAACAAAGAGGACATTTTTGCGGAAAAAAAAGTAAGGAATTTAAGCAAACTGGAAATTTAAGCCAATGACTTGTTCCTTGGCTAACCAGGTCCTCATCCATGGAGCTTTAAATAACTTTGATAGAAGACAAAGACGATAGATCAAACTAATTCAAATTTGTATTTTGCTACTCTGAATGCGATAACTGAAAGAATTGTTCCGTATGCCGATTCTCTCAGCTAATTACTTTAAAAACTTCATATTCTTGGACAGTGAAACTATTAGGTATTCCTATACCGGCGTAATAATTAGAGCCTGATGTCCAACTAGTATCATTTGCACATAAATCTCTTCCAGTATTGCCAAAGCATGGACCATACGAAGCATCATAGTACACGGCGTACGTGATGTTACCGACACGAGAAAACTGTGCGGAATCAAGGTCATCGATATCTTTAATATGAAACAAAAAACTTTTGTTGGTGTTTCCATATGTTCCGCTGTTGGAGGTCCAATTCAGAGGATTGTAACCTCCAATGACTGCGTTGCTCGAGCTAGGCTTACAGACAATCAGCGTCGCCCCCTTATAGTCGCAGAGATTATGGAATGTGGTACTATCGAAGCCATCCCTTGTACCTCGAAGTAATAATTCGTATCGGAATCTATTACGCGCAAAATATTTATTCTTGTCAATCCACGAGGAAATTAGTTCAAGCTGTGTTCTTTTTATGATAAAAGAGTCGCAATCTTTCGTGCCTACTCGAGGCTTCCATTGAGGCGTACTCGTTTCTGGAGTATAATAGTAAATTATGTCGTTCCTAATATCTTTTGGTAACAATTTTTTGTACGGCATGACGTTCTCGCAGAATTCTTTCAATTCGAAATTATGATATCTAATATGACGAAGACATTGATGCAACGTTTTTTCTAGCGTTACAAAATCTTCCTTAGTCCAGCTGCTAATATTGCTTTTTGCAGCTAACTCGTGATTTCGTGCTAGGCCCCATTCCAGAGTCCTGCGCCAGATGACTATTTCCGGTACGTCCATGTCATCTCTTTGAAGAAAGTGCACTAAAATAGACTCTGGCATATCGCAAAATTCATCACCATCAAACAGAATGCTGGGTTGTTTACATACGATGTCGATGCAGACATTGCGTAGAGGAACAAAAGCTTCGTGTAGCCAGATTTTTCTAAGAATTTTAACCGGATTATCGCTCAAGAATTCATCCTTTTTCTCTATCATGTGCTGCTGTACATCATTTAATAACGACAACAGTTCCAACTCGTCTGTAGCTATCAATACATCAAAAAGAACTGATGCGCGTTGTGAGGTGAAGTCGACAACACCACCGTATAGATATCTATAGAGTTAATGGTTCAAACTTTAAGAAATTATTGCTGTACTTGCAATACTAATACGTCATTATCCGACGTGTTACATATTTCCCTTTTCACCGCAATTTCACCCCGAATGAAGGTCTATTCTTCAGATTATAATAAAAAGCGAAATATTTCGCCGTCGGATAATATCCTGAGTCTCGATCCTTCTATGATTGTGCGACAACAAACCTCAAAATGAAATCCATAGCGGCAGGAGTCACATTTGGTTTATTGAGAATGTACTTGTTATCTTCTTTCGTTGCCCATTTTTCATTGACGGCAGCAGCAAAATAAGTTGAACGTGCACACAGAATGGGCGAATGCACTCTGAACTCTTTTGTGTGTCCCCCTTCCTCACCCACGCAGAGAAGAGTGTCGTAATGCTTTTCGCTATCCAACAAACGCAGCAAATCTCTGCAGACGTCAGACATGATAGAGTAGTTGTGGGAATGTTGACATTGGTGATGATGTTAAAACTTCATTGTGTGGGACTAAAATGTTGTGTAACACGCGATTCTATATGAAAGTTCCTCAACGACATAGTGATGATACGTTGTTGAATTACTCAGAATCAAGACAGCTACTTATAGAAACATCCAATAGGTCTGCTTAAGGCCCGTTATTGACATTTAGCATAAACTATCAAGTTTACTAATAATAAACATCAGTCCTAACTAAATAGCTTATTTTTGTAAGTAAAAGCATATAATAATAATAAATAATGCAATAATAGAAGTTCCGTAACAGTTCATACGTACACGCCCTTTCGACAGTTATGTGCTCGGCCGCTTATTAGCTACTTTTTGTAATAGTAAATTATACTTGTGAATAACTCGCATCTGCTTTCATGAAAGAGACTAAATCACTAGGCTATCTCTTGAAGAATAAATTTTATTGCATTTTTCTATTATCTATCAGATGGATGTGGAAATGGATATCGTTAGCTTTACGCCTGTGCTCAATGGTATCCATTTTTCGAGATTACGCTCAACATACAAAACCGATAATAATAATTTGTGCGTGTATTACTTAATAAACGATTATGACTTCGAGCTTCGCGTTAGTTATCTCTGCCAAAATATAAAGAAAAAAAAATACACATTAAAACTTGTTTATGACATATGGAATTGATTTACTATTAATGCTTTATGGATTACAAAAAAGACACATATTTATTAATGCGTTTTTTCCCTTAACGACACTGTCTTCTGTTATTTCTGTTAAGTGAGTTTGTTATATGTGAAATAAATTCTTATAGTCTTGAATACGTATACGGGAGATATGCTATTATGAAAATTAAACAGAGTCGAAGTTTATACTGACTGATGGTACAGTTCAACTGCCGTTTTTCTGAAACTTTTAAAATTATATTGACCATGGCATATCCTTGTCCAGCAGCCTTCATTAATCTTTTTCCACTCCAGTTCTATTTTTATAACATAGATCAATATTATATTCTGTGATATAACTTATTGTGATTCTCTTTAAGTGCAAAATGTAGATAACGAAAAGTTACTGTAATTGTCTCCTGTATACTATTTTGAGCTAACTCAGTTCTGAAGACAACGATAAGGAATTATTTAAAAACCCACGTTGAAGTTAATCGTTTCCCTAAAATACACTCTTTGATTAAGGATATTATTAGTGTCTTTCTAGCAATAATGATATTCTTTGCCTAGAACGAAAGTGTTTATTACTTAGTAAGCTAAAAAAGACAGGTAACAAACAAAAGAAAAAGTTCTTACAAAAGGAAGACAAATAAAACAAAAATCCAAATCTTGGACCAATTATTAAACGCACTATTAATAGAATATAAAATGAGGCACTTTAACATCTCGACACGTCAACTTTTCACGGAATTTTTACGCTACGAGACTCTGAGTCGGTACTTACAGTATGCGTTTTGTGTTATGATTCAAACGTATATATAATTAATTAAATCTGACTAATTATTAATTGATTTCAATTTCGGCAATTTGCCTAATCACTATGAATTTATGATAAATCGTCGTCAACGAAATCAATGCCCATACCTATTTTCTGCTATTCATAATAATGAGAAAATAGACAGTCAGTTACCGTAAGATAATAAAAGATTTTGTTGACAATTTCAATTGTCAATTTATTGGGAGAGTATCTTGGATAGCTTAGCAGTGTCAAATCAGCACATCATTGTTGCTATTTTTGGATATGCTAAACGTTTATATGCCCTATGGTCATATTACTATGTAAATAGTAAAACAAGAAAATATTGCACTGGAATGAATCTAACATTTCGTATTCACGCAGACATTTACTCGGGCAGACTCTCAGCTACTACACATTAGAATTTATCCTTATTATCGGATTTCTGTGGCTTGCAGTTGGACTGACAGTCAAGATTAGAATTCTTGTTTGATTTTTATTGATGGCGTTAAATATCGAAAAAAATCTTTACAATCCCAACGATTAGATAATCAATAATATTACCTATATTATTTCAATTTAAATATTCCATGCATCTACGAAATAATGACTTTCTCGATATCACTCACAGTATCAATGACTGCGGGTGTCCGGACGGTTTTGCCTTTCAATTTCTCCAATCCCTCACCAGCATAACTAACCAAGGGACTTATCTCTAACGTCAAGCTATCCTGTGTCTCCCCATCTCCAGCTACAACTTTACCTCCCACTTTCTCAACGAACCTCAGATGCTGGTTCATAATATCCCTTTTACTAGTATCCGGATCATCGATTCCCGTACCCGGTGCATTCTTCAGGGGAGAAAATTCATCCTTGCGATCAACCTCCAACACGGCCATACGCTCAGTGAACGGAAACACGTCAAACACAAATAATTCCATCTTCATACCATTTGGTTTGATGGGTGACTGCAACTCGCCAGTAGTCAAATCAACGTGTTTGATCTTCTTCCTAGCAATGTGATATTCCAATTCGCCCTCAAACCGTTCGACGCTCTTTAGAAAATCTACCGTATAGAAATGATTGGCGATATTTGCGGCTCCATATTCCAATTGACCATTAGCTTTAGTCAAAGCCGCCAAGGTGGGATCGAATTCACTATACTCAACTACATTGAATTTGCCATTCCTCAATGCTATTACTCCAACGGGTTCTTCGGGATAGGCTTTTCTGACAACTTTGGCGCTACAGTCAGCATTTTTAGAGATACTATAACCAATAAATACAGGATCGGCTACGCGAACGAGACAGTTGTCAACGCAGTACGCGTGTACGTAGAGAATACCGCGAGAAGCAAGGTCGGTGAGAACATTCTCATAACGAAGAGCAGCGTAGATACCACCATTGCCATCTGGTGCCACGGCGAGCTAGGGCGGAAGTCGGAAAAAGATCCAGTTAATTCAAGCAAAACAAGAAAAAGTTCTACAAAACCAAGATAATATGTGACACCTTGGATTTTGTTTCCAAGAAAATTTTGCCCTCATTAGTAAAAGCCGGGAGTGTTCCTGGAAAAAAAGAAATAGTCAAGGATTGGCAACAATATATACCAAACTGTTCAAACAAATATGGAACGAAATGTTCACGAGAACAATGCAACCCAAAGTTTCCTACACACCTTGTTCAAAGATGATAACATTTTCTTGTTTTAATCCAAAATAGCCATTACTCTGAAAGAATCCTTCCGTCGCCGCCCTCGTTGGCCCGCTCGTCATAACATACCAGGGAATAATCACCTCCCCTTGCGTGCCAGTAGAGTCCTTGGCAATCTTTTGTAATCGCAAAATCCTTTCAGCCTGTAATTGGAAAAGTGACTTGTGCGACGGCAATCCAATATCGTAGCAGCCTTTCGGAGCCGATGAACCCAATCTGGTCCCTTGCCCACCAGCCATCAAAATCACGGCAACTTTATTCTCGGAAATCGATTTTAATCCGATCGACTCCCACTCTTTTTGTTTCGATTCGGCAGCATCGAGTACAGAGTCGAAACAATCGTCAGGAAGAGGAGATATGCTCAGGTTGGTGGTAGAGGATTCGAGACCGGAAACGGCCTTTTTGTAAATGCGGTTAACTCGATCTACATCTAATTTGGAGAGTTGGTTGTATAGAACGGCTTGTTCTTCGGGAGAGAGCGAGTCGTAAAAGGTAAAGACGTGTTCCTGCTGAGCGGCTGCATATTTCGCTTTCAAGGCATCAACTTCCGCTTGAGTCGGCATTTTTAGTTTCTGGAAAAAATAAAGTGGGGGTGTTCATATATGGCATGCGGCATAAATGCTTGTTACGCAGAAGTTTGTTCGCGTTCAATGGGGGTGTGTAAAAAAATGGTGTTTGAGATCAACCAATAGTCCGGTAACGGTAAGCATGAAGTTGGAATAGCTTGTTATTATTTGTTGTTATTATTATTATTATTATTATTGATCGGATTAACTAAAACAATCACGATCATACCCGCACCAATATTTATAAGGAAAGATTAAATAACTGATTCTTCTCAATGCTATTTAAGGGTCGTGCATTCTTTTACTGGTGAGTGCATGTGGCCTGCACAAGGTGAAGACACCAATCGTCTACATACATGTTACAACATTTCACTGCCCTGCCGTTACGAGAACTCTGATCAATAGTTGAAACGCACATAACTGAGGGGCCGATTCACGCGTGTAAATCACAGGCGCTATTCTCACCATTAAAGCTGTAAGAATTGCGTCAGCATGTTTTCTGGCATTATAATGGTTAGGCCATTGATTGTATACGTGGACGCCAGATTATTATTATTCAATCAAAGAAGCTCTAGCTTGAATTGTTATTGTTCCCAACCAAAGCAACAGCCCGCCACAAGCCACCCGATGGGATAAATGACTATCCCTTGGAAATTTAAATAGCCTTTAGAATCGTTAACGTTCAAAATTCTGAAACAGTCTTTAAACTCGAGCAGTAAAATTTATTACAAAAACCGAGTCACTTATTCGTCCTGAAATGACTCTTCAATCCATTCCATACTTGTTCGTAATCATTTTGTAATACTTCCGTCGACAATGCCCATTGTGTTGTTCCAAGCATCAAGGAAGATTCAAACATGAATGCTTTGACATTAAATTCATTTAAACGTTAAAATATGCTAGCATGGTATTTGATCACTTCCATGTAAATCTATTCACTTACCCATCGTATTATCAGCAACGCGAGTAGGTACCAGTTTCTCATTACTTGCCTTTTCAAAAGTAGTAGCATCTGGGCCATGAGGCGTCATAAGACTGTGAAGACTAATTACTCAAATAGTCAGTAAACCGCAATAATTTCGGAATTCGGAATTTCGTCAAGCGTAATAATTCGAACTTTTCCACGTACCTTGCACCACCGGGTAGAAATCCTTTAGCCTTAGCTTCATATTCACCAGTAATTAAACCCATGAATTCAGCCATACAATTACGGTGAAAATATGGAGGGCGAAACTGGATAATAGCATATTATAAGAGCATGACACGAAACTAAACTTGGAGATGTTGTCACAAAATCATTACCGTATGTTCCTGTACTGCCCACCGCGGAGGGAATATGACAAAATCCGCTATTGCTGTGCCGGGGAAAGCAGATTTGGATGTAAGGACTGTGAATATTGATGGATCCTATGACCCGATATTGCAGGTAAAAACCGTGAATTGTCTTCTCAGGAAAATATATCCGTATAAACGCAAGATAATTCCCAAGCATCAAGTGCACCACTGGGTTGACTCACCATATGATCGAACGTTACAGAATTCACGGCGTTGAATTTTCTGAGATCGTACGTATACGGAACATAGTTTCCATGCCACGCGACTACGTTGAACGGAGAATGATCCTATTGAAAATATTTTTAATAAATCTATAATTAATATTAACAAAGTTCAATCTGAAAAACATTACCTGAATTGCTGCAAAAAATTGTCCAGCATATTTATTATACATTTGCCACGCTTCGCCTTTATCTTCGAATGCAGCTTCTGGGGTTAAAAAATCTCTCGGATTCGCCAAGCCATTTGCGCCTTATTAGGGTAAATAAAAGTCAAGGCACGTAATGCCAAGGACGTAATTAACGATTAACTTTGTATTACCTATTGGTCCCAAGTCAGGCAATTCAAAATGATTGCCAAACACTTCTAAAATATAACCACGCCTAATGTGAGACGCATCGTGAGCTATGAATTTATCTGTTTTAGCAAGGACACTCGAAAAAAATATCTCAATGACTTACGCATGTGTCTGTGGAAGACGCACGGAAAATTTAATTCCTCTTGGAATCACGACTATCTCCAACGGCTCCACCAACATTTTACCAAACTCTGTTGTAATATCTAGCCTTCCCGTCTGAGGGACTATAATATAAGTAGATCTATTATTAATAGAATGTTCATAACTATACTTGAAAGCATCGCGCGCGGTCAGGTCAAAACAATCCTGATACTGTACCAATCAAAAAGTCGCCGTCAGAGTTATACATTGCCCTCTTCTCCATACTTTTGTTACAAGTGTAGATATGTATTGCCAAGCCGTTTCTCACAGTCGGATCTCCGGCACCTGCGATTGTCACCAAACCGTCAAGAAAATCAACCGGATTGTCGTCTGCTGGTAACGGAAACGGACTCCATCGAAGCTGATTGGGGATGTATCGCATTTCGGAAGATGCAAAGTCAGGATGAAGTCTTTTGTAAAATACGTAGGGCGAGTGGCCTACGGAAGGACGGATGCGGTAGAGCCAACTGATTTAAAGCATTGGGATTTAAGAGTAAGCGACGATTGATCCGACAAAAGGGTGGTGGAATGCGTTAGATCAAAATAGAAATGTGGGAAAACAATTGGCAAATTAATCGCTTGCTGCCAGTAGCTATACACGAGCGTCGTATCAGCAAATATTAATCAGTATGCATAAGAAATGCGCAACTACACTCTGATCCGATTATACGCTGGTGTACAGCTACCCTCTTGACTTTGCGTCTCGGACCAACCTGCGTTGGTTATGTTGTCGATCCACCGTAAAAGCAGTTCCAGATAACTGCTCAGCGTATAGTCCGTAAGGACATTTCTGGGGAGTATTCTGACCTTTGGTTTATTCACATTGATAACAATGTCAGTTTCACCATTCATTTGTTAAAGACTTTGTTAACGAATTACTCTGCTTGGAGATATTACCTTGCGGTAGAGCTCCCTCTAGCGCTTCAGACGAGAAATGGTTTCCAAATCCTGAAAGATACTTGTAAGAATCAACGTTGACCGTCATTGTCTTTATTGCGTGGCGAAGGCAGACAGTTTAAATAGCGAGTGTACAGTACCGTCTCCGACTACGACTACCCCCTGTTAATAACGGCATAATGAGTCAGAGTTGTCACAATAGACCAGATCAATGACGTCCAATACATTATTACATTATTGGGCATTATCGGCCACAGAAAATAATTACTATTACAGTATTACAGTCGAGGTATTTACGGACAGCATTTTATTGGTTTCACATGACTCAATAAAAGTATAATACAGTCAAGACTCGATATAGTCAAGTCGACGGGACGGGGGTTTTTCTCGACTATATCGAATCTTTACTATATCGAATATTCTCGTTATAGTAAAGTTTATATATAAGTGGCATAAATCTTTACTATATCGCGACTGGCCAGTCTTGTGGTAGCATAATAATAAATGGCTCAAACGTTATTTTG